TCATGATCTTCAAGAAGAAGTCTGACCATCTGGTAGGTGGGCGGCCACGTGGTCTTTTGACATCCCGTGGAATCCAGTTAGTAACAGCTCTAGTCCAGCGGTCGTCTTTAAATCTCATTACGTGACCAGCCCATCTGATTTTTGACACCTTAGCAAATGAGACAGCGTCCCTGATTCTTGATCGTCGACAGATGTCGGAACTCTGGATTTTTTCTCTCATTTGAGTGAAACGTGATATTCCAAGCATAGCTCTTTCTATTCTTCTTTGGGAGACCTGAATAGCGTTCTCATCCTGTTTGCGTAGGGCCCAGGTCTCTGAGGCATATGTTAATGCAGGAAGAACAGTGGAATCAAAGAGATGTGCCCGGAGCCAGAGGTTCTTCGTCCTCTTAGCTATTTCTTCGACGTTCTTGAAGGCGTTCCAAGCTGCTCTCTTCCTCCTGCGCAGCTCGGGTGCCAGGTCATTTGTCATGTTGACTTCTCGACCTAGGTACACATAGCTGTTGCATTCGGAGATGGTCGTTCCGTTGAGAGCGAATGGGGCGTCAGGAACGAGGCTGTTTCTCATAAACATTGTCTTCGTAAGATTCAGCTGTAGTCCTACCTTTCCAGACTCACGGTCAAAGTCGGCCAGCATTTGTGGCGCTTGGCTGATGTTTGGTGTTATTAAAACAATGTCATCAGCAAAGCGGAGGTGGTGTAGTTGCTGACCATCTATCTTCACTCCCATTCCTTCCCATTCCAGTCGTCGCATGATGTTCTCGAGGGTGGCACTGAAGAGTTTCGGTGAAATGGTATCACCCTGCCGCACCCCTCTCTTGACATCAACGATCACTTCTTTGTAGAATGGTGAGATCCTGGTAGTGAATCCGCAATACAGCTCACAGAGGATCCTGATGTATTGAGTTTGAATGCCCTGATTGGCTAGGGCTTCAATGACCGCTTCTGTCTCAACAGAATCAAAGGCCTTCTTTAAATCAATGAACGTTAAGCAGAGCGGCATCTTGAACTCCCGAGAAACCTCCATGAGCTTGGTTATCGTGTGGATATGGTCGATGGTGCTGAATCCTTTGTGGAACCCTGCTTGCTCGCATGGTTGTCCTTCATCTAGTGTTCTGCCAATCCTATTCAGGAAGACTTGAGTGAACAACTTGTAGATGACAGACAATAGGCAGATCGGGCGATAGTTGCCAATGTCATGGATGTCTCCCTTCTTGAACAGTAGTACGGTCCTGCTGGTTTTCCACTGGGACGGAACCTTGCATTCAGACAGGTAGCGAGTGAAGAGCCGAGCCAGTGTATTGATGAGTACTGACGGCAGGTTCTTCAGGTGTTCAGGTCTGACCTTGTCTGGGCCGGGTGCTGTTTGCTTCTTTACCAACGAAATGGCGTGTCGGATTTCGGAAGGGAGAACGTTAGGAACGACATACCCATCCTGTGGAATTTGGTATGTCGGCAAGTGGACATGGCTATCGAAGAGATTTGAGTAGAAGTCATGGATAATCTTCTCCATTGCCGTTCTGGAGGATGTGATGGATCCATCAAGACGTCGGAGGGCAGTCATCTTGGTCTTATAGTTGGCAAAGGACAGGCGGGCGTTACGAATACTTTTCCCGGCTTCTGCCGCATCTACCAGTACTTCTGCTCTTCTCTCTTTGAGGTCTTCCTTGATCGCATCTCTGCACTGCTTTGCGAGCTCGGATGTTAGCTTGCAGTTGCCTGAGGCATGCGCCAAACCACGCTGGCGAATTAGCTCAAGAGTTTTCGAAGACAGGCGTTTTTTTTGTGGCTATCTCTCTCTTGGCGTTCCTCGCACATTCATGGAGGTGCTGAACCAGTCGATCGTATTCCTCGTCAATGTTGTCAACAATGGCATCTTCCCATGTTGCCGCAATAGTGCCAAAGAGCTCCCAGTTGGTGGTCGTTCTGGGAGTTCTCTTTTTGAACTTTGCAGCCCTTTCTCCCCGCTCTGTGAAGTAGAATTTTGCACGAAGGAGACGGTGGTCCGATCCCGTTCGAAATTTTGGGACAACAGCGACATCGGTCAGGCAAAACCATCGATTGAATATGATGTGGTCTATTTCGTTGTGGACTCGTCCACTGGGAGACTCCCATGTCCAACGTTTAGATTCTGCCTTCTGGAACTGTGAGTTACCATGGATGGTCTTGGTCGACATGATGAATTCAGACAGTCTCTCACCCTGTTCGTTCCATTCTAGGCCATGGGTCCCGATGTGAAGTTCTTCAGCTGATCTTCTCGGTCCTATCTTGGCATTAAATCTTTAAAAATTCGTATTTTTAAGAGTTTTGATATTAGCACTAGAAGCTCTAGCCATGGAAAGCAAGACCCTCAGTAGATACCCATTCCATATACTACACTGTAAAAAATATTTTGTTTCCTTTTCAAATACATTCAAGTTTCTACAAATAAATACACCCAAGTTTCTACAAATAAATACATCAAAGTTTCTACAAATTTCCTGTCTTCATGATTGCTTTATTTTTTGAGCAAATTGATGAACGGGAGGACAATGCTACAGTTCTCCCATTTATTTTTTTAAATTGAATCACAGTGATATACACAATTATAAAATTGTTTATGATTTGATTTCAGTCATATAATGTTCCAACACCCATCCCTTCTACTGTACTTTTCCCACCACCAGTGGCCCCAGTTTTTGATTGATTTCAACATGGTAAGTACATACACAGAGTGATCTCCTGATTTCTTGCACAATTTAAATCTGGGAATATTTAATTCCCTACTTAGAGAGGCTGAGGGGTATCTTACAGGTTCTTTAAAAATATTTTTATCTACTTACATTATAGAATGTTTATTTTATACTAATAAGGAAGGAATTTCATAATCTTTGGGCCAAACAAACAAACATAAAATGAAATACCTACGTGATTAGAAATTAGTTATGGTCTACTACCTAAAAATAATAATAGATTATGATAACTGTAGAGTGGTAATCCTCTTTGAATTAAAAATAACCTAGAGTGACAATAACTGTAAAAAGTAAAGTAAAGGCCCTCCCGTTGATCGTCGATTTGCTCGAGCGGGTCCAGTAACATCTCCACTGGAGACTTTGTTGTTACTGTGTTTGGCATATCGAATACTCTCGGTAGCTTGCCGGGCTCTCCGAGAGGGGCGGAGGAATCGAACTCGGGTCGGCCATGTTGGCCGCTTGTAAGGCGAATGCCCTACCCGCTGTGCTATCACTCCAGCCCTTGACAATAACTGTAGTGACAATAATTTGTAATCAATAACTAAAAGTTAGGAACAGAATAGAAGATATTTCTTTTAAATTAAATTTGTGAACAATACTTCATAAACTCGTTACAGTAAAAAATATCAAGCAGATATTTCTTGGTGGCAAGTAAGACTCATAGGGAAATAAATGGCCTTAGGGATAAATAGAAAAGAAATAAAATTTAGTTACAGGCAATTCTGTTTTCTGGAGAAGATGCTTTCTGAATCTCACAGTATTTTCTATGATTATCTTCTCATCCTCAGCATGTAAGTCTTCAAGTAAGAATGTCAGATCACTCTGGTCATTTCTTCATAATGCAATGGTTTAAGAAGCACTTGAATTTTTTTTTGGGGGGGGGTCAGACCCGGCAATGCACAGGGGTCACTCCTGGCTCATGCACTCAGGAATTACTCCTGGTGGTGCTCAGGGGACCATAATGGGATGCTGGGAATCGAACCCGGGTAGGCTGGGTGGAAAGCCAACGCCCTACTTGCTGTGTTATTGTTCCAGACCCAGAAACACTTGAATTTATGAACCTTCTTACAAGGATTACAGATTAATCTTACAAATTGGGGAGGTTTTATAGCCTTTTGTGAAGAACAAAAGAATATAAATCACTTAGATAACAAAGAACAACACGCAATAAAATGTTGAAACACAACACCCAAAAGGAGAGAGAGAAGAGAGGGAAATGCCCGGCCACAGAGGCAGGGTGGGATGGGAGGGATGGGGGGTGGGAGGGATACTGGGATCCGTGGTGGTGGGAAATGGGCACTGGTGGAGGGATGGTATATTTGATAATTGTATAATTGAAACCCAAGCACAAAATTTGTAAGTCTACAACTGTACCTCATGGTGTCTCACTAATAAAAATTTAAAAAAATAAACAAATAAATAAAAGCACAGATAAATGAGGAAAAAAAATGCTAGTCCATTGAAACTAAAGCATGGACTCTAATTCTGGCCTTGTCATCTAAATTTGAGCAAATTTATTTCAGTATTTTTTGACCATGAAGGAACTAAGTTGGATAATTTTATCTTTTATTTTTCTCTATCATTAAAAATTCCTAAATGCTTGGAATTATTTACATGCACATCCCATGGTAGACGTATCTGCCAATATTTATCTTAATCAACATAAAGCCATGTAGAGCTTGGAAGGCAGAAGCCACAGAAATTGAGTGATGAACTTTTAGAGCCCAAATATACTTGTAAGATAATTTAAAATATATGGAGGGGTTTTTGGATCACATCCGCAGTGCTCAGGGGTTGCTCTTGGCTCTGCTCACTCCTGATATTCCATGGGGGGACCTTATCACAGTGCCAGGGACTGAAGTAGACTCAGATGCATGCAAGACAACAGCCTTACCTCCTTTACAATCTTTGCATCCATTTTTTTTCCTTTTTAATCAATGAATATAAATCTGGGGCTGGAGCAAAAGCACACTGGGTAGGGCGTTTGCCTTGCACGTGGCCGACCCAGGTTCGATTCCCAGCATCCCATATGGTGCCCGCCCCCCCCCCCCCCCTTGAGCACTGCCAGGGGTAATTCGTGACTGCAGAGCCAGAAGTGACCTCTGTGCATCACTGGGTGTAACCTTTTTGAAGCAAAAAAATATATATATATAAATCTATTCCTAAATGTTGTTTACACACACACACACACACACACACACACACACACACACACACACACAGAGCTTATTATAGGGTCAAGATAAAAAAAAAGTAACTTCTACTCACTTTGACAGGGACACTCCCCCAGCTTTCCCAATCATCTCTTCATGGTGTAATACTGAATGGTTCCATGGAATATGGAGGAACTTTAAGAGTGTTCTCATCCACCGTTCAGGATGCAAGACAAGCTGTTCATAGTGAACTAACATGCATTTTTTATAACCAACCTCCATACACTGGTTATACATGGTCTCTATAGCACGATTCCACTTGGTCAAACAATCCCTATAGCTGTTTAAGTCAAACCCAGCTATCGTAACTTTCCGAGAAATCATTGAATGTACTGATGCTCGTCCATCTCGGACCATGAGGAGAAATTTGGCATTGGGGAATAACCTAGCAAGGTAGGTTAGGGATTTCAGGGCGAAAGGATCTTTATTACATAAGTACGGAGCTGGTTCCCCATGCTTCACAATGATTTCTAGTAGAAAGGCTTGCATGGCAGAATCCAGCACATCATCGGTGACACCAGCCTCATCCAACCGTATTTTCTCTTTACTGGACCGTGACCACATTTGCTTCAGGGCCAGGATCCGGGGAATGACCCTGGTTTCCTCTCCACAGCGAATGTCAGGATGTGCATCTAACATGGCTCTCATGAGCGTGGTTCCACTCCGAGGCACACCTCCAATAAAGATTAAAGGCATATCTTTGTGATAGGCAAGAGTTGTGTTGGCTTTGATGTCCAGGTTGGTTCGCACCGTTGTCCTTGTGCTCTCCAATCTGAGGGGCTGGCTCCGTTCTTCTATTCGGTGATGGCATTCCATGGCATGTTGGCCCAAGTAGAACACGGTCACTGAGCTAATCACCAGACAGGCCAAGAGTAAGTTCTGCTTCAGTTTTCCAACCATCTTGATGTTGTTACCTTGGTATTTAGAGAGATATTTCACTCAAATGATTTTCAGAAAATATTCAGGCCATGAAGAGTCTACTTCAGAAAGATGATCAACATCTAATAAGAAAAGTAAAACATTATTTTACCACTACATCAAGAGTATTTACATATTAGTCATCAGTTATCACTATCACATTCCAGTGGGAAAGACACTAATACTTATATACGCTAATATTCATAGGACACAAGTATATATACAAATTCAAACAAAAATAAATCAGCATTATAAACAAATAGCTTTTTCATTTGTTTGCATTTGGGCCACAGCGGGGCTTCTCCTGACTCAGGGATCACTCCTGTTGTGATTCGGGTGATCGTGGGGGTGCTAGACATTGAAGCCGGATCGCTGTGTGCAAGGCAAATGCCCTATTCACTGCACTGTTTCTCCATCCCCTACAAATGGCTCTTTTTACGACATTTTTGCTTGTTTTTAGGCTGTATCCGGTAGTACTCAGAAGACCATGTGGCGTCACACATCAAAAATGCAGTTCAGGGGCTGGAGCGATAGCACAGCGGGTAGGGTGCTTGCCTTGCACGTAGCCAACATGGCCAACACAGGTTCAATTCCCAGCATCCCATATGGTCCCCCGAGCACCGCCAGGAGCAATTTCTGAGTGCATGAGCCAGGAGTAACCCCTGAGTATCACAGGGTGTGACCCAAAAAGCAAAAAAAAAAAAATGCAGTTCACAGGAGGTTTACTCCATGGCTTAAAGGACAGCTGCACACTCTAGGGGTAAAAGCAGATAAAAGCACCAAATAAAGGGTGCTGGGAGGATCCGCCCAGGATGGCAGATGCATGCTGAAAGTAGACTATAGACCGAACATGATTGCCACCCAATGCCTCTTTTGCAAACCACAGCACCCAAAAGGAGAGAGAGAGAACAAGGGGGAGTGCCCTGCCACAGAGGCAGGGTGGGATAGGGGGATGGGGGGATGGGAGGGATACTGGGATTGGTGGGGGTGGAGAATGGGCACTGGTGGAGGGATGGGTACTTGATCATTGTATAACTGAAACCCAGGCACAAAAATTTGTAAGTCTAACAACTGTACCTCATGGTGTTTCACTAATAAAAATTTTAAAAAATGCAGTTCAATCAAAGCACACATTCTAACCTATTGACCTATAGCCCTCTGGCCCCATATAATTCTGTAAGCAAAGTAAAAAAATAAAACTATTCTTATTAGTGAAGTATGCAGATATTTAATACACTCAAGAATGTTTGGAGCCCAACCCACAGCTTGCCTCTGGTATAAAAAATTTCTTCATTTCCAAGACATTACCACCACACTCTACCATAAAGAGAAATTACAGAAGAAACACACAATTTCCAAATCTTTCATACAGGTTCAGTTTATACACCCCATACATTAGTTATTTAGGGACGGCAGGCTAGATTCTTGGGTGGGGCTAAGAAAAAATTTTGCTAAGGACAGTAGTGTCCTGACCCTTGCCTCAAGAAATAATCCCATGGACTGACAGAAATGCAAACATTGATAGTAAAATGGGTTTAGCGTCTTAGCTGAAACAAGCAAAGGAACAGTGGGAGGGCATTAAGGGTTCTGGGAAAACTGGAAAAATGTTAGTGAAAATAAGATGGAGAGCCGTTCTAAGAAGTAGGACACATATGCAAAAGCACAATCATTTAACAAAACAGATTCCTCTTGGATAACAGAAAATAACTGGTATAGGAATTTTGCTCCATGACTTGGAGGCCAGCCACACGTGCTAGGGGAAAAGGAAACTCAGATAGAGAAGAGAGCACCAAATAAAGGGTGTTGGGAGGATCCTCCCAGGGTGGGAGAAGCATGCTGAAAGTAGTCTATAGACCAAACATGATTGCCACTCAATGCCTCTCTTGCAAAACAAAGTACCCAAAAGAAGAGAGAGAGAACAAGAGGGAATGCCCTGCCACAGAGCGCAGGGTGGGACACGGGCATGGGGGATGGGAGGGATGCTGGGACCTGTGGTGGTGGAGGATGGGCACTGGTGGAGGGATGGGTACTTGATCATTGTATAACTGAAACCCAAGCACGAAAATTTATAAGTCTATAACTGTACCTCATGGTGTTTCATTAATAAAAAAAAAAAGAACTGGTATAAAAGGAACAAAGTGTGTGTGTGTGTGTGTGTGTGTGTACGCGTGTGTGTGTCTGTGTGTTATGGAGTGTATGTGTGTTTGTTATGGAGGGGGAAAGAGAGAAAAGGAAGAGTGAGAAAGGGACTGGGAAGGGCAGTCAGAGAGGAGGGAACAGAGAGATAAGATTTAGAAACAGAATGTTCTAAGATACATTATGACCAAATATGCAGATGTGCAAAAGCAGCACATGTATACAAAACTTTTTGAAATGCTAGTTTAGCTAATGTAGATAGCAATAAGACTATATTTAGACTAAAAATTTCCCCCTGAATTCTCAGATGGCCACACGTGATAATCAATCCTTATGTCATTTTGGCTAGGCTATGATGTCCAGTGTGTGAGCCAAACACCAGAGGAGATATGAAGATATTTTCAAGATCTGGTTAATATGCAAGTCAACAGACTCTTAAGTGAAGCAGATCATCCTCCATTATCCTTCAGAAATAGGCTGGCCTCACCTAACAAAGCCCTTAAGACTAAAAATAAGTTTCCTCAACAAAAGGGAATTCTCAAGACTGCAACATAGAAACCCAATGTGAGTTTCCCCGGGTTGTCCCAAGGAATTTCAACTGTTATCTTCCAGGCTATCCTATGGAGCTTAGAACTGACAGCCCCACAATCTCATGAATCAATTCCTTAAAAACTCTCTGGCTAGAGAGCTCAACAGCTAAGCACATGCTTTGCATCTGGGAGGCCTGGGTTTGACCCTGGCACCCACGAAGTCCCCAAGCACCACTCAGTCCCCTGAGCCAAGGAATAGCCTCCAGGCACCTCAGGGTGTAGCCTCATAAAAATAAAACAAACCCTTTTGTGTGTGTTTGTGTGTGTGGGTGAGCTGCTCCATCATCTTCCATTTACACGGAATGTCTACATAAGTCAAATTTGCAGAACCAGAAAGCAAGGAGCAGAAAAGCAGCGGGCATTTAACAGCAAACAGACATGAGGGGTCAAGATGGAAACATTTCAAATCTGAATTGGGAAGATGTTTGCAGAACTCTGTGAATGTACTATAAATCACTGAATTATACACTTACAATGGGTAAGATTTTTTTGGTACAGAACATACGTCAGTACAGCTCTGTGTGTGTGTGTGTGTGTGTGTGTGTGTGTGTGTGTGTGTGTTCTAGGAGAACAACACTACAGCAGTTAAGGTACTTGCCCTGCTTGCAGCTGACCTGGGTTCAATTCTCAATACCCCATTCTTTCCCTGGAGCCCACCAAGAGAGATCCTTGAGTGCAAGAGTCAGGAGTAAGCCCTAAGTATCACCAGGTGTGGCCCCAAAACCAAATATACACATGCATACACATACACATACATATACATACATATACTCCTAGAAAAATATTTTGATTCTCTCAGCAGAATAGAACAGAATAAACTAGGATTTCACTTTTGTTTACACAAATATTCATTCCTCTAGTTGCATACTGAGCTTATTTTACTGTGCCTTCATTACAAAGCTGCATGCAACAAAGAACCATAAAGTGAAAACAGCTTGAAATGAAAATATCGGTTTAATAAGAAAAGCATGCAAAGAAAAAGTATTAAGATAATTGGTAGAAAATGGCATTAAAGTCATCATGCAAAAGCTGTGCCCATGGTATGGAAGACACACTTAACTTTGCTATACCGAGTTCAAGTTAAAAGTGGGTTAGGTGGGGGAAAAATAATGCAGAGAAAAAGTAATAGAGAAATCAAAAAACTAAGATTCAATCCCAAAATAATATTTGGTTGAAAAAAAATATCCAAATACAAAAGGAAGCATCCCTGAATTGGAGAAAAAATCATCCTTATATATGAGGGAGGGCTTTGTTTTGTTTAATGGCCATACCTGGCAGTGTTTGGGCTATGCCCAACTTGATGCCTGGAGGTCACTCATGGTGGTGCTTGGGGGAATGTGTGGTGCTGGGGATAGAATCTGGGTTCCAGCATGCAAAGCATGTGATCTAAATTTTGAATCATCCTGGCCCAAGGTCTCTATTTTAAGCAAAATAAATTCCAATAAATGCAACCGGGACTCATTCTAGCAATTTCAAATATCAAATGTTTAATTTCAGTGATTTAATTCACTTTGGGCTGGAGCTATAACACAGTGAGTAGGGCGTTTGCCTTGCACACAGCCAACATGGCCAACCCGAGGTTGATTTTTCCGCCCCTCTCGGAGAGCCCGGAAAGCTACCGAGAGTATCTCGCCTACACGGGCACAGCAAAGCCTGGCAAGCTCCTCGTGACGTATTCAATATGCTAAACACAGTAACAACCAAGTGTCACAATGGAGACGTTATTGGGCCCACTTGAGAAAATCGATGAACAACGGGAGGACAGTGACAGTGACAATTCACTTTAGGTTTATGCAATCCCAATCTTGAAAAACAACAAAACTCAGGGCCAGAGAGATAGCACAGGGGCAAGATGATTGTCTTGCACTTGGATGTCTGAGGTTCAATTCCAGCATCCCATATGGTCTTCCAAGCATCACTATGAGTGATCCCTAAGTGCAGTGCCAGGCATTAGCCCTGGGCACTGTTGGATGTGGCCTAAAATCCAAAAGAAAAAAGAAAACAAAACAAAGTCAGAGAACTCAAAATTCCCAAATTAATATAATGCTACAGTAAAAAAGACAACAGTCTTTAATAAAGGCTTAATTTCTCTCCGCCCCCTCCCCCATATTGTATTGAATCACCACTATCTTGGCTCTGCCCTTCATTGTACTGCATTTTTAATAGGGCTCACAGCAATAGTTGGGGGTCCAGGGACACTTCTGGAAATGCTTGGCTGGTAGTCTGGGCATGATGATTTGGTGCTCAAGCCTAGCAGTGATTGGAAGGCCATAACATAGCAGAGCATTTTGTTCTGTTTTTCAATCATCACATCCCACCAGCTGTTTCCAAATCCAACCTTTTTATTTCTTTTAAAC